CCTGGGTCCTGCGCAACCGCCACTTAAAATACCATCCTTAAAACAATTTTGTAATTATAGAAGATATACAATTTGGTAATTCTTATATAAAACGAAAGATTTTGAAACTGATGAATTATCGACACTATAAAAATCGACCATGAGCGGTGAAGGGAATCCGTAAAAGTATAGGTTATCGAAGATATTCACCAGAAAAATGTAATTTTCTTAAGAGTTATTGAGTAATAAACGAAGAAGCCGAAACAGAATTATGATATTTAACAGCAGCACTTAAGATTCTTGTGTATAAATTTAACTCGGCACGACTGTGAGAAAAAATAGAAAAGTAAATAAATAAATAAATAAGGTGGTGATGTACCCTCCAGTGTTCCGAATGATTGCATTGTTTCTATACCTTCCCAGCTAAACAACGGTAAATAAATACCGTCTTGCGTGCGTCTAATGCATGATACATCACCCAAAATAACCAGAAAACGTACGTTTGATAAATGTTTATGTAATACCTCTATTCGACAATATTTTGGTTTCATATTTACACACACCCAAAAGCACTTCTTCCCCCTCTCTGACTTCCAATTATCACCAACTTACCGAAAATTTGGCTTTTTTATATCGCGGAGCGAAGCATTGTTGTATATTTCCCATCATCTCAAGAATGCATCACAGACAAACACACAAACACATTTTATTAGTGCGTAGAATTAAAATTCGTTTCGTCGACTCGTACGTTAATACAAATTAATAACAATTAGATAAATTTCGCTAACAAGAATCATGATTTTCGGACCGTTCGAATTGTTAAGTAAGCGCGCGCCTGTTTATTTTTTACGACACGATCAAATTAACATACGGCGGCCCATGCGCGTCTCTTATTTTAATAAAATCCAACCGGTTGGAATTGCAATGGCAGCTAGCTACCATTATTAATATTTTATCGAGTTGTTAGCACAGTTTTGCGTTTTCTCGTGCTCCGGAGAAGTGGAACGCGCGCTACGAAAAACCGGGGGAAAGTGGGTGGTTTTTTCGAGTGTGTTTTGGGGGTTTTGGATTTTTGGGTGGATTTTTTTCGGCAAGTGGCTGACCGCGACTTTCTCTGTTTTAAACTTGGGTCATTTTGTGTCACTGACACTTGACTTGGCTTTGAAATTCGAATATTGCTGTGAATCATCTGATTATGTCTATTTTGAATTTGACTCGGCCTCATAAATAATGTAAATGGGGTGATTCATGGGTACATGGAAGTGTTGAGAATTTTTTGTTACGAAGCACATTAAAGATGCTGGGAGCAGATCGATAATGCGACGTTACACACGTTTCGAGTGGATAATTTTTTTTTTTTTTTATTAAAAATATGTAGAAGAAAAGCGAAAATACACAGTACAGTTGTACTTTTAAAAAATTTTTTAAATTGATTTTTCAGAACGGGATGATTTTTGCACACAGAAATAATGAAGGGTCGGACGGCACAATAACTGGGTTAGTGACGATGCTAAAATGACACGTGTGGATTAGCCTTTAGTGAAAATAAAATATAGCGGTTGTAGTTGACAGAATTGGGACCCACAAAAAAATAGTGACAAAAGTTATTTATACTGTCACAAAACATAAAATTTAAACTTACTGAAAAATACAATATAAACAAATAAACGATAACTATACAGGCTGATTCAAGAATAATAACGAATCTAACCAAGCCGAAGATGCAACCCAGAATACTTTTTTACAGTACTTTTCATTGTAATATGTATAGTGACCTTATAACAAAAAATCTGCACAATTGTTATAGCATAATGTACTCCTACACTTGTGGTTTATGAATTCGCTTTTTCCCCCAAGCATCAAAATTTTACCATCAAACCCAACAACGTCAAGCACGGAGATTCCGTGACACATCGGTTAGGTGACCGCACTATACAGAATGATTCAATGAGTTTAACCACGCCGAAGATGCAACCCAGAATACTTTTTTAATAGTACTTTTTATTTTAATATGTATTGTTACGAAATAAACCCATACGCCGCCCCGATACGACGCCCATGTTTTTCTAGTATGTGCGGAGATGATGGGTGACTCATCGTTGGTGACGGCGTTTGCTAAAGACAAGCCTGAAAGCGGAAGTCGCGATGGATGCTCTAGAATAAGCCTAAAAGCAGTGATGACGAGTGTTCGAGAAGTAGGGAGCAGTCAGTGATGTCCAAACAATGGGAGAAGTAGGGTCTAGTCAAATCCATTCTAGTCGGAATTATTTTGTACATAATCGCTGTGTCGAGTAAATTCGAGTCACCAAGAAATAAATTGTTGAGTTTTACCTACGCGGATTTTAAATTACCAACGGGTAATATTCATATTTCATTCTATGTTACTTACAAATACTTATAGGGTAAAGGTTACAGCTAACTTTATGAACAACTAAGCAATGAATTGAAGCCCTAGAGGAGTTAGTCGTGGCTCATCCTGGCTCGCTGTGGCTCGTCGAACGAGTGCTGTTTTATGATATAATCCCCCTTCTAATTCCTCTCTAGCCATCAGAATTTTCTCTGGCTCCTCTCTGGAACCAAACTAGAACCCCTCTTGACTCCTTTTTAGATGCTTCCTGTCTCCATTCCTCCCTGGCTCCACTTTGGCTCCTCTCTGGATGTTTAGCTCTTCTCTGGTCATCAGTTTCACTCTGGTTCCTCCATGGCTCTTCTCTGAGAGCTCTCTAGCTCTTTGGTTCAACTCTGGCTCTTTTTAGGGCATCTAATTCCCCTCTAACTCGTCCCTGGTTCTGAGACTTCTCGCCGGTTCCCTGTGGTTTCTCTTTGGGAGCTTTCTGACCCTCCAGCTCTTATCTGGCACCGTGGCTTTTGTATGATTCCTCTGTGGCTCCCCTGCAGCTCCTCTCTGGATTTCTGTCTCTTTTCTGGTTCCTCCCTGGCTCTCTACCGCCTTTGATTCCTCTGTGGCACTCTAGATAATCTGGTTCATCTCTGGGTCTTCTTTAGCTCCCCTTCTTCTTCTTCCCAGCTTTCGAGCTATTCTCTGGTTCCTCCCTGATACTCTGACTCGGCCTTGATTCCTCTTTGGCTCCTCTCCGACTCCTCTCTGGCCTTCGGGTTCCTCTCTGACTTTGGCTCCTCGCTGGTTGCTCTTCAACACCTCTTTGGCTCCCTTCTAACTTTGTTTCGTCTCATTTCTTTGGGTCTTCCCTGGCTCTCTAGCGCTCTGTTTCCTCTCTAGCTCCCCTATGACTCGCTCGTTCTTTTCTGGTATTCTAGCTTCCCTCGCTCCTCTCCGACGCCTCTCTGGCTTTTCTCCGGCCTCTCTCTGACACTCTGGTTCGCTTCTGTCTCCTCTCTCGATTGTCTGGCACTCTGACACACTAGTTTTCCCTCAGCCCCTCGCTGGCGTTCTGGCTCCTCGCTGACACTGTCTTCTCTCTGGCTCTTCTCTGCAACTCTGGCTCGCCTCTGACCTCGATCTTTTCTGTGACTCCTCTTTGGTTTTCTGGTTTTTCTCTGGCAATCTGGCTTGCGTTCGACTCCCCTCTAGCTTTTCTGTAACTCCAGTCTGGATTTCCGACTCCTCTGGTTCATCTGTGGCTCCCCTGTAGCTCTCCTTCGTCTCCTTTCTGGTTTTCTGGTGGCTTCTTGACACTCTGGCTCGCCTCTGGTCTGACTCATCTATGGCTTTCTTTTACTACTCTCTGGATGTCTAGCTCCTCTCTGGCACTCTAGATTGTTTTTGGCTCTTCTCTGGTTTTCTATTTCTTCTCTAGCTCCTCTGTAGCACTCAGGTTTGACTCTGATTCCCCTTTAACTCTTCTGTGGCTTTTATGGCACTCTGGCCCCACTTTGAGACTCTGCCTTCACTCTTTTATGGCTCGCTCCTCTGCGGTTTTTTGGTGCTGTTTTGGCTTTCTGGCTCTTTTTTAACTCCTCCCTGGCTGCTTTGCGGAACCGTTCTGGTTGTCTGACAGGGAGAAGGCAATCTTCTCCCTGGCTCTGTGACACCACCTGGCCTCTCTCGGGCTACTGTTTGTTACGTTGGCTCGTCTTGGACTCCCAAGCTGATATCTGGCTCTCTAGCTAGAAAGTCAGAGCACCAGAGAGAACCCTAGCTCACTGCCACTCCAACTCCTCCCCAGTTTTTCTCCGACTCTCTCTTCTGGCTGCATTCGACCTCTTCTTTACTTTTTTGGGTTTTCTCTGACTCTCCTCTAACTCGAATCTGTTTCCTTCCCTCTTTTGCACTCTAGCTGTTTTCTCTAGCTCTTTGGGCTTTCTGGTCCTTCTTTGGAACTCTAGCTCTTCTTTTGCTCCCCTCTGTCATTCTGTTTCGTTCTGGCTCATTTGGCTCCCTCCCCCCTTTCTGGTTCTTCGGCTTCTCGCTGACACTCTCCGTGTCCTCTCGGGGTATTCCCTTAGCTCCTCTTGGCTTTGTGACGTCCCTCTCTCCTCTGGCTTCTGTTTGGTCTGTGGCTCCTCTTCTTTAGCTTTTATTAGACCTCTCTGGTTCTCTGCCTCTTAAGCTCCTCTCTATTTCTTTGGCTTTTGAGCTCTCAATGTCCTCTCTAGTTCTCCCGAGTCTTTTCTAGCTTCAATAACTGTTAGCGTCCTCTCGAACTCTCTGGGTCCTCTGTAGTTCTCTATAGCTCTTGCTCTGCTTACTTTTCTCAGGCCCTTTTTTCGGTCTTGCCTGACACTGTCAATCTCTAACTATGTTGGTTTCTCTGTTGAGACCGTTTGGAATGGGCATTGGCTGCGTGGTAGACATGTTTGGAAGGGAAAACATTTCTAGGGTGGGAGCTAATTTCACTCTTTCCGACTTTAGATGATGTGCAGATGTACATGGGCATTCGGGGTTCAAGCTGACCAATGGGGTGCCACCGGATGGACGTTGAACGCGCTCGTACTTCGAGATTCCGCCGGTGCTGCTAGGCGGAATAAATTAAGGAGCGGAATATAGGCAGATGGATCTTTTTTGAAGCCGATCGGGGATGTACAAAAAACGATGCATCTTAGTTCATAGTGTTGTTTATTTTTTTCATATCAGAGTATACTAAGTTAAAGTAAACATAGACTGACCATTACTCGAAAAAAGTCTGAATAAAGGCAGCCCTACACGCCCAATATTCTCATGCAATATGAATTTTGCATAATATTGAACGTTAAAGGGCAAACATGTGAAAAAAAAATACATAAGTTAGGTACAGTATTGCGTAAATTATTGCGCAATAATATTGAGCAAGAGAGGTGCCTTTATAAAATATATTTACATACGCGTTATGAGATCTCTGGAAAAACCATTGGAATAATTACACAAATTCGTTAAATAATGCTAATGGAACTCGAAAAGCGCCAGATAATATTTACATGTGGTCACTCCCAATTCGCTACATGAAAATATTATAATTTTTTTTTTCGTAAATTTTTGCTAGAATTAGAATACAATTAACTAAATCTACGAAAGGAGTAAACATGGGACTATTTACATCATCGTACCAAATTAAGAAATCACCAACTTTGCAAATAATTGATTTTTTGGTCGTTTAATCATTTGCAAAATAGCAGTCAAATAAGAATAGAGCGAGTGGCGGCGTGCCACAAAATGTGTACTGTCTGTGGTATTTACAATTTGAATAAAACGATTCGGTTAAAAAATTTAATTTCCTACAGAAAAATTACGAACGATAAAATTTACTAAAATCATCCTAACCTAAGTCCTAGTGTCAGTTTCTTTCACATTAAAAAAATATATTTACATAAAAATACAAAAACACAATTAAGACAAAAGCCTATAATTTCCCTGTAGGAAGGCTTGTGAGAATGTTAGTGCTACAGGAAAAGAAACAATCTATCAACTTGATAGCACACATTTTTGAGCGTTGTATAAAGAAGAGTTCCAAAATGAGCCCACCACAAAGTAAAGGCCACAGTATAACCAATTTCACTTCATTACACTACAATTGCTTAGTAAAAAAAAGTCTAATAAATGAGAGCTGCTAATCTCACAGTCTCTACCTCATTGCACACTTAACAATTCACACTGAATACACTACAGTACATACTATTTATATGTAAAGTTGGCAATTATTTAACATGAAGTTCACTATAAAGGAATCTTAGAGCTAGCTGCACATCGTTTTCTGGGTTTATGTAGCTATATTCACAGTCTTTACCTTACAAGTCTTAAATTAATATTAACCTACCAAATTTGAGAAAACTTGGTGCTTGTCAAAGGCAGTTACTCGATGTCGGAGGTGTGTAAAAACGAACTGACAGTTAAAAAAAAGTCATTTTGATTCTGTCTTGTTTGGAAACCCGACAAATGATTAACTGCCCAACTGAAACAAAATCCTGCCAGTCTTATTCAACTAAAAACTCTAAAATATCTATACTAATCAAGGCAGTGATATCTGTACACTGTATCTAAATTGGCAGATCTACATGGTATATGATAAATCACACTCTGAGCGACTAAATATACACGAAACACACACTACGTTTATGTTGCAGCGCGATTGTCCATTGTTCATATTTTGCATTGCATAGAATCCCTGAATGAATATATTTGGTGTACTGTTACTTATAAATTACCCAAGTTCATCGACAACTTAGACAAACAGATGCGACAGAGAAGAAAGTAGTTATCTACGGACAACACCCCATGGTCAATCCCATTGATGGGGCGAAGGAGGCAACTCGGATGGGTGAGCTACAGTCGAACTGAAACAACAAAACAATCAAACTAACCGGTCGGAATACAGTCCACGAAAATCAGGTACAAATTTTAAAGCAGCGGAACTTCACATTCTCACACACGTAACGACAGGTCTCGCTGGCAAGGTTGGCATCGTCTCTACAAGGATAGAGAGCAGAGGATGGGACCAGCAACAGCGTTAAGCACTTAAATAATTCTCTGGTGACTTTACAAACGTTATGGTGCACACTAATTAGGAACGGCTGTGCATTTAGTGTTTGAGGTTGGCTACAAGTCACAAATCTAGATTTAATTTTACATAGAACAATGAGTACCCAACTTCAAACGTGACAATAATTACAGCCCCTTTAAATTGTCGCGATGCTGCTAACCTTGTTCGCAAAACATATTACCCGTCGATTGTAGATGTGTCAAGTGCAAGTGGTGACGTCTGTGCAAAAATCTAAGCCGTTAATAAGAGTAATTTCCGCTCCTTTTCGCCCCAACTTTCTTGGACTAAAAATCGCGAGATGCTATACGAATGACTGTGAGGCGATCAAGGACTCCCTTTTGTACTCATTACGTTAATAATGACCATGCAATCGCAAATCAATAAAAAGAAAAAAATTAAACTAAAATCACTAACCTAAACAAAAATGTAGTCACGCGGCACAGAGAAAGATGACAGGTGATAATAGGATTTCTAGGGTCTTCTTGAAAGGTTCACAGCCTTTTTCTTTCCTGTACAACAACCATCATCTTACTTGGGCTCGTCAACACCAACACAAGCAGCGGAGGGATGTGTTAATGAGGGTGCGGTTAATTAGTTAAGTGAACTTACTGACTTCCATGCATGTGTTTAAAAACTTTTGATCTCACAATATTATTTGTGATTTCTTCGGAAAACACCAGAGCACGAGATTTTACCGAGTTTCGATGTCGGTTTTCAGCGAATCTCTGCATTTTTAGATATTAGAATGGGCATTAATCTCGTGTCCCTCCTCGAGTGCTTCATTAGTGGAGAAGGAAGAAATTTCAGTATTAACATTATGAGGTCATTTGATATACGGTGGAAAGGTTCAATTTCTACAGGATGAAACGGGTTCTAACTACTGAAAAAATAAAGAAATAAATGTTGGAAACGCACGCGCCAGCATGGAAATCATTGTCGTGTAATAAGTAATTGATTATAAATGTTATTTATATGATTAAGAAGTAATAAAAAAATAACACTGAAACCTTTTGGTGCACGTTATTTTTTCACACAACTTTTAACGTAACAATAAATTAGATAAATGGGAGAAATTATTATGTTAATGGTGGAACACCAAACTAAATGTGTGCTAAATAATGTCACGAGTTGTTTTTTTTTAATCTTGTGTCCTTTCACAAGTTATCAAACATGTACAAAACGAAATGCCATTTCTATTATACTTGATTTTCAGTACAATTGAAGTTTGAAAATTAAATAATAATTACTATAAAGATACAAGGACCGGTCTAGATACAACAAAGACTTCACCAAGCTCAATTTTGCAATGTTCATTATGTTCAAACAGTATAAGGGTACTACTATGGGCATAGCCTTTATATTCTATTTATGTAAGTATTCTAGAGGCTTTTTGTACATTTCCTACACGTGTTTTAGACGCTATTGTTCTATCTTATGCTACATACACGTGAGATACTGGTCCTAAAAAAAATAGAACACTCAAAACAGCGTCGTTTCTCGGGGTATAAAACGACACAGTTCGATAACTGTGTGTTAACTAAATCCTAATTTATTTATTCAAAAGAATAGATTTCTTCTGATTTATTTACACATGGTATTTTGAACTTACTATAATTCACTGACCTACTGGAGTTGGGGCTTTAATTAATTGTCGCTCAACGCTAAAACGTAGAAAAAGGTTGGCGTGCAACAGATAATAAAACTCATTTTCTATTGCTGCTGCCCTCGAAATAAACTCTCCACTTCATTATAATACATTTGAAAATAAATATTTGGGTTTCTGATCCTTAATCAAATGACTTGATGTCGTAAATGAACAACAGATTACAAACTATTTTTAACACGCTTCTCTCAAAAAATAAACGTTTTATTTAAAACCCATCGTCGATATTTTCAAGCTTCATGTAAACAAGAACCTTCTTGTGTTTTTTATATTTTATAAATTCAAACTAGGTCACATATCATATTGTGTCACATTGACACCCACAGAAACCTCCTCCACTACGTTTTTTTTTTTCTCGTGACAATTTTTAGCACATCCATTTAGCGTCATGTGTAAATTTACAAAAATGAAAACAAACAAACAAAATGTTATGTGCGTGTATGATAAAGTGCTTGCAACGTACACCAAGAGGTATGTGAGCGGTCACCTATGCAATGGCGCTGCGCTGGTCTGCGGCGTCGGCGGCCGTCTTACCTGGCGAAACTCTTGAACGCCGCAGATTGGGGGTTTATGCAAAGAGGAACTCTACTTGTATTCAGTTGTTCTGCTATGAATTTATGCATCTCCTCTGCAAAAAGAAACATTGGATTAATAACAGATTTGAATTTTTTTTCAAAGGTTTATTCGAGGGAAAAACACCAACATTACATAATAACCTTGCCACAGCTTGTGATAGAATTATGTTGAACATTGTATTTAATTTATGTTCAGTAATATCGGTTTCAAGATTTATCACAGCCGTTGAGAGCAACAGGTCTGCAAAATTATACGTCTGTTTTGTTTCTATTCCAGGCGGTAATATCCAGGGATTCATATTAGGCTTCTTTTTATTTACTCTATTGATGAATGATGTCTTCAAAATTTGATATTAATATATATAATAAATTGTATGAAATATGTACGGGTTTAAAAAGATTTGTAACCCTATATATCACTGACAACTTTGTGGACATTGTTCAGATGTAGGTGTTATATTTTTATCCTTGATTGATCTGGTGCTTCCTGTCTTCAATAGTGACTGATTAAAATGTTTGTATATCAATTTAGCTACGACTTAAACAAAGTAATCAATTTGTCACCTTTTTCAAACAAGAGATTCAAGTTTGGAAATAACTTGTACGAATTGCGGCCATAAATATGTCAACTGACGTATTCATTATGAAAAAAGTCCTTCCATTAAAACATTATCGGGTAAATTTAAATTTAAAATTGTTTTTCCACAACGACCGAGGTAACTGTACCTTAAAAAATACTTATTCGAGCAACAACAATCAATTTACATGGCAGCAAAGTTCCGAGCATTGTTGTTAACGAATTTTCAAACTGTTCAAGTTGTTTAGCATGTGGAAAATAATCAACTCAAAAGTAGTACAGAAGTGGGGTAATTCCATTTAAAAACAAGTTTTATTCATTTCTGGCCAAACCGGAAGTGATCATAAGTAATTACTTTGATAAAGCCACAAAATGAAACATTTGCATTTACATTCGCCGCTACTAAATAATATTTCATAATAATGGTTGTCTTTAGGGTTTTTAAAATCATTTAAAACCGCTTTGTATTATTTGTTTCGCTTTCATGCGATAAGGTTTACCGCGTCCGAGTAAATATTTCCGTTCACGAGACGGTATGTCCTACGTCCAATGCCAAATGGTCATGTTTTGAACACAAAATATAAAAGATTTTTGTTATAAAATTTCTAACATTAATTTTCCAAACAATTCTATGATGTGTAACGACCATAACAGGCGTTTTGTAACTTACAGCTTTCAAACCAAGAACAAATAGTGTTTCAACAATACAATCCTCATTTTGAGTTAAATCCTTCACATTAGTAGGCGAAAATAAGTGGCACAATAGGCTTCAGTATGCTTTGACCACTCCTCCACTATTATACACTGTATCAATTAACTCGCAACTGCAGCAATCAATTGGCAATCAGATGCACCTACTGTGTTTTCCCCTCATTCTACGGTCGACGAAAAATCAACAAAAGAAACAAACATTAAGCACCTTTCACATGTTGTACAGACGTGAGTTTCTTTTCCCAGTGGTCATCGAACGCTTGTGGGGCCGTTGTTTCAAACTCTGACGTGTATTGCCTCATTCCGCTGGCCGTGGTGTAGCAGCATTTACACATGCAAGAGTGGTACCTTAGTCTCCCTTCGTCTAAATATGGATGCGCTAAGGCGTCGATTACAGAAATACGTTTATCCTGCAAGAGAAAAAAAAATTAAGAACATGATGCTACGTTAAGTATGGGGATTAGAACTGTCCGACACGTGTTTGCTTTCGCAACTGAGGTGTACTGTTTCAGCGATTAGATACCTACTGGTAGCCTTGACATGGCGAAAAGGGAAGATAAAAGTCACCTACTAGAAGTGGGAGGGCAAACACGTGGGGTGTTTATTTTTTAATTGTTTTAATAATGTTAAAAATGATAACCAATTCGATGTAATTTTACTGTAGGAGTTTCAAATATTTTCCGGGAAGAGTGAATCAGTGATAATTTGAAATTGGTATCAGCGTAATTACTACTGATACAAATTTATTGGTATTTACGTAACACTTGAGTGATTCCAATTCTAGTATTATTTTGATTTGGTGCCGTCTGTGTTGTAGGAAAAAAAAAGATTATCGATCTGATTTTCTTTTCATGTCATGTCTGAGATATGTTTGGACATTTTTATTGTTGAAGCGGCATTTTTAATATTACGAACTTCCATTTTGTCTCAAATAAATGTCTGTTAAGGGTAAATATGTGATTTTCTCATTTCTTTATTTCCTTTGCCTTTTATCTATTCGTGTGTTACAAAAAATAAACTATTTGCGATGCAACTACAATAATGTGTTTTTTAAATTTAACGTCTAGGTTTTAATATTTAGCTGATTTCTATTATGACTATTCGATTAAAAATAACCAAAAATGTATAAACAGTTTATGCCTTTGTATAAATTTAAAGTAATAAAAGTAATGTGGATTGGAACTGTTAAGTCGTGTTTGCTTTAGATATCTTAAGGCAGGTTCTCGTAGCGCGTGACTAAGTAAAGTAATGACTTAAGTAAAAAGTTTATTACACGTTCCATTTTAACGGTTGTCATAAATTTAAAATAGGATGGTCAATGATAATAACTCTATAAAGATAATGATGCAGCAATGACTTGTAAAGTTATATGAATTTTCATTATCTGCATAATTTTTCAAAAATCGAATATTTGAACTATTATCACCCAAGTAAAATTGACATAAAAACAAATATTCTACACTACACGAAAAAAATCGGAGACAGAATAATCACATATTTCACAGGAGGTCAAATGTATCTAGTTCGACCCTGCGTAGTAGCCTTAAAGTTATTTCTATAAAGGTTACTTCAAATATTTGGTCGCCGCTAGAGACTAGTAATAGCAAAATCAAGTTCCCAGGAGTGTACTTTACAATTTTTATTTCCATTTTAAAAAATTGTTGCTTTTCGATGTATCTTGTGCAGTTTAATTTTATTAATCGAAATTGAATTCATTCGCCCGAAAATATCTGCACTGATGAAGGTTTTTTTTAATTTTCCAACAGTTGTGTCTTTAAAAAAAAAATGAAACTGAAAAGAAGAAAAGAAACTGGAAGTTGCGGATTTAATTTTTGTTTTCTAATTAAGGTCTTAATACAGAAATCAAATCAATAAAACTTACACGTGCAAAGAGAACAATAAAACTCACAAACACATTAAAAGTTTCATTTTCCGCTAATATTATTACTTATATCCGTTGCTGCTGCGACTGTATAAGGTTATCACCTTTTTTAATTGGACCGGTCTTGGATTAGTCGCTTGAATACAACATTTTTAGGAAAATATAAATTTTGTCGTGGTTCGGTCAAAAACATCTGGAACCGAAATTCACCGTCTGTTAACTGTAATGTTACTTAATTATTTGTTGTTATCCAAAGCATTCACACCATAATATTTAATATCAAATGCTCTATGACACACACTGGTGATATGCAGGGTGAGTCACTTGGCTCGAGTTCCTCGAAATTTCATTAATTATTAAAAACAAAAACAAAAAAAAAATCGTAGGCCAAAGTTCAACGGTTCTTTGATTTTAACTATACAGAGTGTTTTTTATTTGCACACAACTTTTTTTAATGGCACATTGAAATGTTTTTATCAGAAAACATTACAATTTTCAAATATCGATATTTCAGGTTTTTCAAATAGAACTTGTATTGTATTACTGGATCTTATATGTTTTTATTCTCTTTATTTTTTGCTGTGCATTTTTTTCTACATATAAATTTTATAGTTTTTCAATTTTTATTTTTTAAGAGTCGCAACAACATATCCGAAGATTTAAAATCGCACGATTGGGATTTTGTTGTGAATCTTTGCGTTGCTAAAAAATTTTGAAAAAATGAAACAACATGGCAACGTCGCATCGGAAAAATATATAGTTATATATATATATATATAATTTGAAAAACTAAATTGATGCATAATTGTAGTGTCGTTTTATGAATATGGTTAATAAGCACACTCCATTTTTAGTTAGCAAAAAAATTAAATAATAATTTCTCATTAAAACAACACCTAAAATCAAGTTTTCTCCATTTACATAGTTAATGAATTAAGGCTTGTCCCGGAAAGGTGTGGAGGGTTTACATCTTTCATAAAATAGGAGATAGAGGAGAGTAAAGCTTAATCACAAATTACACTTTCTGTTTACGCTTTATGACCAAGTATATATTAAGAAGGAATGTTCACTCCATTTTAAAAACAGTACGTCAAAAAATTTTGCAAAGACTAGTACTGTTGTGTATAGTTTTTTCTTGGCACGTTTGCTAATTGATATTTAAAATAAAGAAGTTGCATAATATATACTGAAATCAGTAAAAATACTGCGTTAACAACACTTACAGCACTTTGTACATACACTCCTCATGTCTATTTTAATGGCTTCTTGGAAACAAATTTTTACACTTAACTAGTTACATAAAAGCAACCTTTTAAGGAAAGAACTTCAACTTTTGATATTAAAATGCAACATTGTAGATCGTCAAGTGTAAAAAAACCCGACAAAGTATAATTTATCGTAATTATATGCAGAAACACTTGTTCAATTCCTTTAAATAATTTTTTAACCAATTTCCATTTCTAGTGCTCCTCTGACATTACATGTTCTCTCCGTTTCTTCATTACATTAAATATTTAATTTAATAACAAAAAATGTGACTGCTTATTACACAGAGCTCGGTCTGTTCTCTGATTAGATTAACCAACTTTTACAATTGCTCTACTAAAATTCGAATAACCACATCGAAAACCCGCAGAAAGAATCCGCAATAGGCCTTAACGTGAACAAAATACCGCCACGCTGAAAGCACCGTAGGTGATAATACAGCGGAATCAGAATACTGGCGCAACACACAATAAAGAATAACCATCCCATAAACGGGTCTCTTACCGGATCAAAAACAAGCATCTGACACAATAAATGCACGACTTCGTGCGTCGCTTGCGAACTCAACGTATAAAAAGCGGATAACGACGGCGGCTTCGGCGCCCTCCTTAACATATGCGTCTTGGCGCCTTCGCACGCGTATTTCATGTCATCTAACGACGGCGTCCCTAACAATTCCGTTATTAACTCTAGCTGTTGGACGGGATTCTGGGCCTGGAACAGTATCCGCCTGCCCAGTAGTTCCCCGAATATGCATCCGACGGACCAGACGTCCACGGCCGCCGTGTAGTGTTTGGCACCCATCAGGATTTCAGGAGCTCGGTAATACTGCGTCACCACTTCTTGTGTCATGTGTTTGGACGAGTCGGGTTCTTCTACTCTTGCTAAACCAAAATCACAGATCTGGGGGAAAAGTTCGTGTTAGGTGGTGTCGTGACGTAACGGGTTGGACTCACCTTAAGAACACAATTGCTGTTTACTAAAAGGTTTCCAGGTTTTATGTCTCTATGTAATATCCTAGCCGAATGTAAATATTTTAAACCTGAAAAAAGTAAAACGGTTTATTGTAGGAGCAGTTTTGGAATTTATTAGATGAACAAAAAATAAATGAATCAGGGTTGGCTACTTTTGGATATATTTTCGGCTTTCTACAAGTTTGACTATTGAAAACTGCAATAAACGTAGTAGGCGCTTATCAGTGTCAAGATATAACAGTTGACATTTCAATTCCATATTATTTTCGGTTCAGCATTTGAAATTAGCCTCAGATTTGGATTTGGATTCGCTTTATACGCTAGCTTGGCAGGCTATTTGTCGCTATTTACGTGTAACCCTTTTTAATTTTTGTTAATTAGTCCCCTGGAAATTAAATTTTCAACATTTGCCAGTTTAAATGGCATTACTTACGTGTTATTTACACTTTATACTATTTTAGTTTGTTGAAAAAAAAAGTATAGGTAGAATCTCTTGGGATGAATGAAGTGACACGATATACTTGACATTTTAATATTTCTTTTCATAGTTAATTATGATTACTTGGTGCTACTGTGACGTCATATATTATAAAATTATGCAAATATGATGTCCGCGTTTCTTGCATATAATTTTAGTTTCTCATTTAAATTAAGTACTTCTAGCTCTGAAATATGTAATAGAACGCTACCAAGAATTCGGTAGTTTTTGTCAGCTTCATAAAAATTCGTTTTTTGCGGTTTCTAACTTGAGTCGACTTTTCCGTGTTCTACTCTATAAATGTCATAGCTATCAATGCATCTTTGGGTTAAAATGAATGTGAAGTAAAAATAATTATACAAAGACTAATTAATTAATTTTAACCTAAAAACCCATTGAATGCATTGTATGATATTTACAGGGCAGAAGTTTTTTATTTGTTAAAAACGTCAAAATTTTCAGATCTGTTAAAGCCACATCGTTCCTTTAATACCGTATGTTCTTTCTTCAATGTTATTTAATTAATTAAAACCAACGAATTTTTCTAATTTCCGGTGTCTTAACTCTGATACAAGTTATCATTGACGTCTTAAAATATTTAAACTGAGCACGCAGAATAACAACCGTTGTATATAACTTTCAGATCTAATTAATTATCACAGTTTTCTTAGAAATCTGATCGACACAAAATTTGTTCAAAACACTCAAGATATGCCAATCTTAAAACGTGTTTATTTTCGACTTTACTTTTATGATCAACCAAATTATCAGCCACATTTACGCTATTTTATTATATCTTAATTCACAGATTCTTCAAATATTTGCAAATTAATGAACATAAAAAGCTGAAGAAATTCTTCTGCTGAAAATTTTCCATGTGTTTTGGAATGTTTTCAATTTTTTGTACGTTTACTAGCTAGCTTCATCTATATGAAAATTTTCGGAACAGTTTCAGTTTTTAGGACTTTGGGTTCTTAATTTTATGGATTTTTTGAGAGTATTGTAAAAAAATAAAAGAAATACCAACTGTTTCAACTTGAACACTTTCACGCCTACAGAAATTTTCGTGAAATGTTGCCAATTTTATTTTGATTACCCAAAGCTCAAGCTCAAATTTTATCAAACGAGAAAAATGCACGAATAATTGTTTTAATAACCGTTTTTATAATTAACCAGAGTAAACCACAATATTACAATAAGCTGAAATAGTACAAACCATTTTACGTCGATAAAATTTTTCAGTAAGCACAAACTTAAATGAACCATTGCAACCGCAAGTTTCATGAACTCAATTACCACGGAGATTAGCCATAGTTTCAAATATTTTAAGAACACTTATTCAAATTAATAATTGGCAGAACCTTGGTTTTTACGTTAAGTAAGAAAAAAAAGGATTAACAATTCGAGTTTCAATATTTTCTCAAACTGAACACTGTTGAATTTTTAAGATATTTAAATGTCAACATACCATTTAAAGCCAATTGCAAAAATCTTTCAGTTTTGAAAAAAACTCAAGTGGTAAGTGAATTCTCACCGTCCTAAAATTCTCTGAAAAAAACTTGCTTTGAATCGCACTGGACCAACAACGAAAGTGTTCTGTTTAGCACAATTATTCAGGCGTTCAACATGAAGATCGTGTGAAAGCTGCATTATTATGAACATTACGACATGAAAATCCTTGGGTTTTTCGAAACAAGAATAATCTTTGCTAACTTTTCAGTGATGAGTATTTATTAACTACGCTATTAACATGAATATTCAGTTCCGTGCAATAATCGTGCAATAAAGATACAATTCGCTAATTAGTGTTTGAGCTCACTACTTACCTCTAAGTATCTGGTATAGAAAAACTTTGATGTGATCCGAAGAGAGGGGCTGATGTGAAACTATAATTTTATGTAAATCACTTTGAAGTAATTCCGTGATTACATATCTGAAGTGCTTAGTCAAGGAAAATCGTAGACAGGTGTACGCTAAAAAAATACAAAAAATGCGACTCTCTCGAGTTTTGTATTTTTATTTTACGGCGCAGTAGTCTGGTAGTACTATACACAATAAGGAAGTAAGAAAACAAAATAGATTTAGAACCACATTCAATTAATAAACACCTACTGAAAATCACGATGATCTCAAAATAAACAAAAACGCGTGGTGCCAATTTAGTATAAACTAATACGAATTGTTTGTAAATTCGGCAAGTAAAAATAAATACAGACGGAATTTATTTTTGCTAAATTAACAAAAAACCCCATCACCACCTACGAAAAAATTCCAACAGAAAATGAACTACTCAATAAATTCTTGATTCAACTGACTACATTAAAAATTTACACAATAAAACGTCTTTATTTTGCTACAGGCTATACTTTGTTAAAAATTAATATTTAAATACAACGTAAAGTAAATTTATGTAAATTTTGTATACACCACCACCCGAACTAAAACTGGCATTAGTTATAGTTCAAGCGTTAAAAATTGATTTTTGTTGACCCGGTTATAACTTGCATGGGCGACATAATCCAGCAACAAACATAGAAATTATCACGCTTATTATAAAACTATCAAGAACGTGGAATAAAATGATCCGCAAATGGTTATTTCTCGCAATAAAAACCATTAAACATTTAACTGCCATCACAGCAAGATGATTAACGTCGATATAATACTATAACATTAATAAGCTTGTCAAAATAATTTTTATCAGTGAGAAGAACTAACATTTTGCAATAAGGAAGTTGTTGCTTTTATTAGATGGCAGAACCTCCGGTGAGTCGAGTGACTTCTCCGTCCACACCCATGCACTTACGGTACAACTATTAAAATAATTAGTCTTGTAGTTACTTATTCTAAAAAACCATTTCCCTTGAAAATTAGTGAAAACAAGAATGGTCCAGATTTTTCAAAGTCTTTTGGTAATAAAAAATTGATTACATCTTGTGGTGTCGAACCAAGGCGAGTTCAAATTTATTATAATCGTGCTATGGAATAATGGAGCAGATCATTATAACTAGGTCAGCGCATGGCATTGGCCTATTCGCTGTTTATATTAGAGTTTGAAAAATGGGATCGGACCTGGATAAAATTAGTTAACAAGGGTTTACCTATATTTTAACCGACCCAGGTCTGAGTCCGACATTGCTATTTTGTTCTTGAAGCTAAATCAATACAGAGAACTGTTCATGGAGTGTCATGGTCAGGAAAAGATGATCCGTATTTATAACAAAAAGTTACTTAACGCCGTTCAATTTATGCACAGATAACGCACTCCGAAACAAAGGGCTGATGGCTGGACTTTGTTGCAATGGGCGGTGATTCGTTTGGAATTATCAGTCGCGTGCTACGTTGTGGTCTTAAGCAATGTCATTGTCATTCAGGCGGTTTTGCACCAGTTTAAACTGTCATGTTGATTTAACACCGTTTTAAGAAATTAGAATTTGCTCATTACAGTTTGACAAAGACAAACGCCACCAATGTTTGCGAACTATTAAGAAAGGTCTTCAAATATTGACACGACTTTCCCTTTCGATAATTTTCGCTGATACGGAACTGATAAGGAGCGGATTTGGAAACGCGTACCCAGTGTACATCGGAGGTGAAACGGCAGTTTTGTTGTTGAAATTCTTTCGAAATATTTTTGACACGTGTTGTTTTTCAACAATTTTGAAACGCAATTGCATTGTCGTGCAGTTTTTATGAACCGAGAACAAATGAATGTGTATATTTAACGCAAAACAGACGTCAGGAGTTAAAAATGTTCCGCTCTTTCATTTTATTGTGCTCAATAAAACGGCCACCGCGTTGCGATTATTTGTCTCGTGTTACTATAAATAAAAAATGTGCCATTAGAAGAAACTAAGACGAAAAAGGAAACAATTGCGAGTTTGAATAAAAAAAGTAAAGAGCACTAAATTAATACTGTAGTATTTTAAACAATATTACAAATATTAGCCCTAATAAGGCAGTTATAAGCGCTAAGAACTGGAAATAAAATTATCCACAAATTAGAAAAATACATACAGGAATGAGTAAATAATAATATTTTTAGCTTGTGTAAAGAATATTCGTGCTGCAAAAATTGATTTTCATGATAGTACACATGGTCGTTAATAACTTTGAAAAATGGTTTAGCAAAAAGCTTATCTCAGAGTTATCACACGACAACGTAACTATGAAGGATAATGTGAGCTTACTGCTCATACCAAAGGTGGTATTTCAACATTTTTTATTGAAAAAGGTAAAATTGTGTAGATAAAGCTGATATGATTGGAAGCGAAATCGGGGATATAGGAGTCTTTTTCTGCTAATCGTGCTAATCGTAATCGACTGTTAATAAATACTATGGAGCAGTGATTGCAAAAACTACGCTAATAATCACAAGAAATGATTATCATTAAAACTGTAAGTGGGGTTAAGTCAGGTAAATCGCCTCAGTTTGGTACTGCTTACGAAATCACATTATCAGCACCAAAACTCATTCATTTTTAGCACTTTTTTACCGCTTACTTTAACCATGCGTAAAATGACTTCGGAAACTGTCATTATTTGCAAAAAATTAATAAAAATGGATTTAAATAGCCGCTGGAGCGGATTAATCATTTTCAATTGACCCACATATGTAACTAAATTTTTCACACGTATTGCACATCTCCTAAATCGATATATCCGGATAATGACAAAAGTTTTTGTAACTTTTTTATTATTGCAAACTTTGAACTACAAGCCACGGGTAAAATACGTACACGAAAAAAAGGCAACACATATTTAAGCTCTCTTAATTATTAAAAAACAAAAGCTTGTATGTGCCTTCTCTTAATGCACAGTTTTGGCCGTTTTTCATTACTAATTTATACATTAATTTTACCCAAACTCTGCATGAGAAATACGCTACAGTATCCACTTGCTGCATTTTTGTTTTATTTCCGAGAATAATATATGAGGGAGCGTTTTAGTCAATACTATTTAGCCGTAATGAAAACTACAATGAGTATATATAGTGTCTACAATTAATTAATACAAATTTCAAATTGACCTCAGTAGTAAAGGTGAACAACAAATTTGTATACATCTAGAGCTCAAAAGTAGCACTTCAAACGCATAAATGTTTTTAAATTGTTCTAATTCTCCTCTTGTAACGTTATCTTTCTTAAGACTTTAACATGCAAACACAAGTGGTTTTAATTTAAGAAGGCGTTAAACGAAAAACTCTCAAGTGCATCGATATTTAATTTCTTTCAACATTAAAAGTGACTGAACATAATTCCGCACGATCCAAAACATTTTGATTCCGAGTACGCCTTGACTCAATATGTCACCAAAGCGGCAGTAGTTGCAATAAAAAAAAGTGGAGGTTAGATTGTTAACATCACGTTACTTTGAAATCAGTGATATTAGTCGCATTTACTATAAATCAAAATGTAAAAAAAAAATCATCAAGATCCCGTGTTTTATTATTTAGTCCATTAGTGATAAAATTCTGAACAAACATAGAGATTACCATTTGGAAATGGTTCCGATTTCTTCATAGGTGGACATTGCAAAACACAATCAACGAAACTATGTACTATAATCTGGCTTTTTTTCCATTTTATCACTGCATAACTTTGTAAATGATATTGTTCAATTGATTTTTGTTTTCAAAGTAGATGTTTTGCGTAATGGATAAAGGCAATTTGAAGCCAAATTTGAAAAGTTTTATATTTTGTGACCAATTATGTAATAAAATTTCTTTTGAAGTAATTGCTATTCGTAATTCTATTTTACTTTCAACAGTTGTAAATTTAAAATGATACAGGGTGAGTATGTAAGTCCTAGATATCTCATTTATTATTAAAGTCATATGGTTCTCTGACTATCGTACACTAAAATTATTTTCAATTATACAGAATGTTTTTGAGACGTAACATACAACTTAATTTTTTTTAAGCAGAACACCCTATATATTTTAACATACTCTGATAGCAGTGGTCGGAAGTAATTAATTACTTTAATTGAATTACTTTTGTAATTGCTTTTAACTCAAAAGTATTGTTTTGTTTTTCTGTACGAATCGTTTACTTGACCAGTTGGGGCTATTATACCTGTATTATATCGTTTTAGATTTTAACTCAGTAGGAAGTTAAAATCTAAAGAATGTTTAGCACAGAACTTCTTAGGAAACCATGATACATAAGCCCTTCAAATATCATTTTAACGACTTTGACATGGATTTCTCTGAAGAATAAAACTGGGATTTGGTTGGTATTCGTGGTACTATGTTATTAGTTAAACTAAAATCTATAAATATCAGTTTATCGTTTTGAAATTTGTTTTAAAACTTTACTTAACAAGAAGGAACAAAAACAACTTTGGCAAATGTTTTGTGTAATTTGTAAAACCCAATTTTTGCCAGTGGTGCATTTCTGAAGTTTTTTACAAAATATAATCTCTTTCCACATCTTTTGCTGTTGCTATTACCTGTACCCATTTTAATAGGGAAACATAAAAACGAGTTTTTTTTTTTATTTTTAACCTATTATAAAACCGTAAAAATCCCAAAAAATATAACTTTCAATCAAATCATCAAATAAAATTTAACCATATATGTATAGTTATAGTATAGTAATAGTATAATCAGTAAGCAAATAGTTCAGCAAACACTTATTTTGCAAAACTTTCGTAACTCTACATATTTTACTTTTAACAGTTATAAATTTAAAATGATACAGGGTGAGTCACTATGTGAGGGTCTCGCGATATCTCATTCATTTTTAGAGTTGTATGGTTCTTTGACTATCCTACACTAATATTATTTTCAATTATATATAATGTTTTTGAGACTTAACATATAACTTTTTTTTAATAGAACACCCTATATATGTTTACATAGTGAGATTGGCCTCTTCCAATGCTTTATAATTTTATTTTTGAAATTCCGATACGATGTTGTTATAAATTTTGGATGTTGACAATACTTCAAAAAAAAAGGGAATTAAAAAAATAATAAAAAACAAATAGCCACAAGATATTAGAAATAATCCTATTGCGATTTTTGCGATTTATTTTGTGAATAAGTAATAAGATACCGAGGAACGCGAGCTTAGTGACTCAGCTGGTATCTTACGATTATGAGTGCTGCATGGGTGGAGTATGATCGGATGCTTTTCGTGGGATCAAGTTTTTATACATAAACAGATTTTTGAACCAAAGGTAAATAACGAGTGGTCAATTGAGAAACTCATCAATGGTGTGTTTTTTATAGACGAAAACATAGCAAAAAACGCATCTGTTTTATTAATCCGCACCGTTGTGTATAATTGGCAATTGACATTTAAAAAGGTTTCATTTTAATACACGAAAAACTGAGGTTAATTTGTATCATTCCGCGTTATTAGCTGTCATTGATTAATTTTAGGTTACAAAAAATCAAAGCCCACTTGATTACTTTTCAATTGAACACCCGATAGCCACAAAATCTGGGTGTGTCTGTCTGGCTTTGTTTTTCAGCCAATACTTCTCAATTTCTCGTTAAATAGTGAACTCTCCGTTTAATGACATGTTGTCGTCGGATTGAAAAATACATATCGCGTGACGGTCGTCATGAAATACGTCATTCGCTAAGAAAATGATAATTACTTTTAACTTTCGAAAAAAAGGGACCGTTGTCTTTAAAAACATCTGGTTATCAGTCGCCAAATCTGAGACACCCGTTATAACTTTTGAAACGAGTCGCATCTCGCTAATTATAGCAGCTTTTATACGATAGGGGTTACAGTAATTGTTATTTATTCAGTTAACTGCCGTTGCCCCAACCTCTGCACCCGGAACAATCCGTCCAGCGTTTCGTAAATTCCGTGAAACGACTGAATCAGTGACAGAACAGTGGTCCACAATCGTGGGAACGTTAAACTCTTGTAAATCTGTGTAGTAGGAAAGGGCAGGATGGTGTTGGTCATCGGCATCTCCGCTTGCCAGCGCGCTACCAAGGCCGTCGGGCCTTTGTATCATCCAAACCCGAGCCCAAACACCTGACCTGCTACTCCAGGTGAAGGAACAAATCACCATGCGGAGAGCAATGCCTCCTCAGTGGCTGTTGGCCGCATCGGCTTGCCACAACAAAAATCAAATGCAATTATAGCGCACGTTTGCGCGGAAATTCCAGCAAAACCCATTCTTGCGGGTGTTAAATCCACGAAGACGTGCGCGCTGCGCTCTTTAAATTTTAATTTCGCTGCACTGAGTACGGTTGTTAACGATTTTTTACCATAGGATAATGCGATATCGCATGTTGGGCAAGGAAGTGCAACTGGGACGAGAGCAAAAAGTGAAATGCCGCAGTAAACCGAGGCTGCACAGCAAAATTCAATTAGTGAATACGAAACGGTTTCGGATTTGTAATCATAAATATAGTAGTCGTTGTCGTTGCGAGTGCTACAAACTTTGCATTGAATAACTACATGCACGTATGCAATAACACTTCTATAAAGTATGCAACACAGATTACGTGTCGGGGTACTGCGACAACAAGTTTTTTTTCATGACATTAATAAATAGAGCTTTGTGTTGTCAAACTGTTAGAAAGAACAAAAAGATAAAAACGTATTTTTCGTTGAGAATGATAGTAACAGTTGTAAGTCAATCACAAAGTCTTTAAACTTTAAATTACGATAAATTCTTTTTAGAATGTACCTCTACATTATCTCTACATAATATATTCTCGTAAAAAATGCCCGTTCTCTGTTTTAAGACAAATATGATTATTAAAAAAGACTTCACTAATAAATAATTTAAAATTGTGATGGGCTAAAATACTTTTATTATATGTTTATAAAATAACCCCGATAAACTCTATTGTTATAAATTGCGTTTCTTTTAAAAGCACTCGATTTCACGTAATCAACGCACAATTCCCAGTTTTTACGCAAAAGTCAATCACTTGTTCGGTTTATTATTGTATCACACCACCTCCGGGGCCGGTTTTGTTTTACCAACGCTAAACTCCGCTTTTAACACTTCAGATGATAATAAAACACATTTTTGCTGCGGCTGAAATTTATAAAAAGCATCGCGCTCCGACAAAGAAGCCAAAGTTATAAAAATCTGACTTTTAATTGGAATTTTTATCTCGATACAGCAACACATCAACGGGATAATGCCACCCTCCTGCAAAACAACTTTCAGGGTAGACATCGGCTGCTTTCAGTGCGTTCAGAGGATGGGAAGCACAAAAAGGGGTCTCACAACCGTTGCACAATCCCTCCTCCCTCAAACCGCGCTTCTTCTACCCCCAAATTCAAATTAGCAGCTACCAACTTGAATGCCAAAATACTATCAAGACTACGAGCCGAATTTTTCTTTCAGCGTCTGAGACGAGGTTCGAAATAAAAGTGAACGGAAAAAGTTAAGGATTATGCAGTAATTTGACTCGACATCTGTCACTTGAAAGAACTCTATGTACGTCTCAACGTATTTAGTGCTTAAAACTCGAATATTCATAGATCGAACAGACGTGTTAATATTGCGGTAAATCGTAGCCAACGTAGTATTAGTGCACTATTTAGTGGTCTGATACTAGTGCAAAGTGGCGTGCGTATTTATTGTGTATGTTTTTAAAAATTAAATCTCAAAAATATATCATACTTTCGACACGTTCTCGTGCATGTTGAGTGTGTCCTCAATGGGTTTATTCATATTAACGAGTAGTCATTGTTTTTCCACGAGATGTCAACGATCACCCTAATAATATGCAGTTCGCTTTTAGACTAAGCGACGCGTTTAGAATTAAAATCACGTGGCGCTTGTAAAGTCTATAAATCAAAGTGACAACCAAAAAGAAAAAAGATTCTTTCAAAGCATGTACTTAGAAAAACTACAGGACCGAAAACCTTAAACCGATTCGAAAACTATAAATTGCGGACGTCGTATGTTAGTTACTGAGAAACCACCTGTTACTCCCTTTTCGTTATAATTCTTGCATATAAAATCCCTTTGTTCGAATTTAGTCACCATTCCGATTTGTACTATCAATGGTCTTATTATAGTGATTCCAATTACTCGAGGTTGCTCTTGGTATAAGCAAGTGGGCGCGCTATAACTAGTCCAATCTAACGGCCGATTGTCTATGCAGTAAAAGGACTGTAATATCCAACGGCTGTATTCAGTTTTACACACGTGTTATGTGACGTCACACCCTTCGTTTTGCCCCACCCTCGGTGTTCTCCACCCCCTCTTAAGACCATAGGTGCCGCACAGCTGTGCGATAACGAGGCAAAATAGGTCATACGAGGTTCGTTTGCGTACACTAAACGCACAACGTTTGAATTTATTCGTAGAAACTTCCCATTCCGTGCGTTATAAAATTCACGAGATTATATTTTTAGAACTAAAAAGTAAAAATTACGGTTAATAGGTGTCGAAACAATCGAGTGGTGATAAAGTAACGCTTAAAATTGATTGCTTCACTTATATAGATCGAGTAGTTCTAAAGCAATCGGTGCTCGCTTCCTGATCAACAAAAGCCCGGTTGCTGATCGATAAAACCCTGCTTCCGAATCGATTATTTTCTTGAATAAAAACTAATTTGTTTGTTTAATTTTGTGTTACTTAAATTTTCGTTGGTTGTCTATGTTAAGTGTATTTAACTACATGCAACACTCTTAAGAAGTTAGATTCAGTATTTTGCTAAAATACACCCAGTTTCATTACAGAAAAAAATCTAATAAAAACTTTTATCATTATCTGTACACGAGGATTTTATGAATTGCGTAATTTTTTCACCCTGTATGATAGAACACCCACGATGTTTTCCACCCCCTCGCCTTAGGTGACGCACAACTCCGCCACAACGAAGGCAAATAGGTCATAAGCTCCGTTTGCGTTTGCCGAACAGCAACGTTTGAATTTATTCGTAGAAATTTACCGGACAGGAACTCGGCAAAAAGCGAATAAAAGCCACAGCAGGAAGCGGCGATGTAAAGTAAATTTCAAACATTAATAATATATTAAGGTATTAATGTTTCTTTGAAGGCTTTACCGGGAACAAAGCGGCGGTTTTTGATACAACTTGACTTTTTAAACGATTTTTTGTACATGTTTTAAGCCATATTTATCTAATTTGACGTGGATAATATGAGTTTGGAATCGTTCGACGTTAATGTCCATATAGGCGTTTATTTCTTTCGCTACCATAAATCTCTATCTACATTTATGCTCGCTTTTCGAAATTTCCCACAGCAAATGTTGGAACGGATGCTGCTAATGGCCCGGACAGACTCACATGTGTCTTCCACTACGTACAGGTGTTCCTATATGTGCGCGTAATTGGGTAACAGAATGTGGTAAGAGATGACTTTTGCAAAAAATAATTGGAAGGATCAGAAACACTCGTGAAGAATTTGTTACATGCTTTATTAAGAGCGATAGGTTCAGCAATAAAATGTATGTTAATGACCTAGAAATGGTATAGATAACGAATAAGGTTAAGGGCAGATTTGATAGTCGCGGCGAAACTAAATTTAATTTTAATAAAGACACCTACACCATATAGATGAAAAATTAAAACTTCTATGGGAAAATTTTACCGATTCCATCAGCATAACTCCGTCAAGTTTAATTTCGCTTCAACGAGGTAAAAGTGCACGTTCTCATTGCCCGTACGTTCTTAATAAGCGGCACTTTGTCAATTAACCCCCCTTTTAGCGCCGCCACTGTCCATAATGCTGCACGTAATAATGCATTTAAAGCATGGTACGTATATCTAAATTATGTATCTTGAGCGCTGCTAGTGAATGAACCACTGAATTCACTCATTTAATAGCCAATTAAACGTTAACGGAAGTTGTAAATTAAAAACTCAGCATTGAGATGATTTCGACCCCAAAGGTTAACATTTCCGATGGGGGTTAACTACCAATATAAAATTACTAGTGTATACAAGTATGTCTCAAAAAGGATACATTTCCTGGAAGAAATCTAAATGAGGCGGTTGGAGGATATCTAAGGCGGACAGAACCTGAAAAAAACACATAGACACATATACAAAAACGAAATAAAGATTCGAGTTGGTTGAACGTTCAATAAGACTTGTTGGGTCAGGAAATTTTGCACGGTTTGACTCTTTTCGAATATTCTTGAAGTTTTCCCGACTCTTTTCGAATATCCTTGAAGTTTTCCCCAGGTAGTTATTTTAGTTTTTTTTTTTTTTGTTTTTATTCAATCCTTGTCGTTTACGGTTTACCTCTGGTGAGCAACTTTATATCCTGTATTAAATTTTTTTCTCAATCTAAAAATATAAACAAGAAAATCGAAAACAATCTTTAAAAAATACATTTTAATTAAAATTGACATATTTCATAGAATTAGCAAAGTATATCAAAGAAATTATTTTAGTCGACTTCAATATTTACTTGTATTGAATTAAAATTTAACACCACTGTCACGTTAGCATTCGGAAAATTCGCTTTGAAAATATACAATGAGCAATAGCTTCCTTATTACCTGAAATTTAGCTAACCTGTGGAAGATAAGTTTACTGACAAGTTGAGTAATGAACAAAAATAGACCGCAAAGTGTTATGGTGGCTACAGCTTTCATGATGCCGCCCCCAAGTTTCTATTTTTAATTACAAAACTTCGATTTTTTTGCTATTTTCTGTGGGACGTTACGTTATTCACGTTTTTTGTCAGTTTAGCATTTTATGTAACATGTTGCATGAGTAAGGTAAAAATATTCGAACCCGAAATAAAAGAAAATCTGCATTTATTTGTTTGTATCAATAGTTATTTCAAAATCATACACCTATGCGTTGGTATAGGTTTTAATGATGTTCTTGAGAAAATTACGTTTTTTTTATGCAAAATTATAGCAAAAAAAAGCTATATGTATTGTGTATAAAAGGTGGCACCATACTTTTTTTAGTCTACTTCTGTATGCTACGAAGTTGTCATTAAATTTAGTTTTTACTGCATACCGATATCTCAACTAATACAGAAGAGAATTTGAGACATTTGCGGTATCTGAATGTGCATATAACGGGTGTTTGGAAAATGGCGGATTAACTGTTCAGTACCAAAAAAATAATAAAAAAATTCTCTATGTTGTAGATTACTAATGAAACGTAATTTTATAAAAGTAAAATTGGCAACACTGCACGCACCTAATGCGTGAATTCCTTCGGCTTACTTTCTGAAATCCACCTTTTATTTTTTTTTAGGACAATAACCGTAACAACCAATAGTCACTAATCGTTGCGAATTATTATTAATAAAACAAGATGTTATTTTGTATTAATAAATAAACCAAAAAAAAAAAAAATTAATAAGACATTTATAAATTATAAACAAAAAAAAAAAACAATAGAAGAAAAATCCATTAAAGCATAACCAATTAAAGAGAAGATGTTCAAAATTCCAGCCTTGGACATATAAGTAAGTAAGCTAAGTTTAGCTTTTTTCTAGTTTTATGAAGAAACACTAGCCCCGCCCACCCACCCCTTGATCATTCGACTGACTTCTCTTAATATTGTTGAGACAAAAGTTGTATTGTTTTTTGGGTAACGTATTAAAATTATTTTCGACTATTCATAGTGTTTTGTTTTTGAGATTTTTTATAGAACACCCTATATATTTTTACACATTCTTATTAGCCTCTTCGTAGGCTTTATAACTGTGATTTATTTTTCAAATTCCGTTGCAACGTTGAACCGTTATTCCAATTATTTTTAATTTTAATTAGTAATATGTACAGGGGTTTACAAAAAAAAAAAGGTTATTGTGAAGATCTATGTTGCATTATTTTATGGACAAATAGACAAAGGTATAAGCTTTGTTATGGTATCAATTGAATAAAACTTTAATATAGTTTTCTTTTTAATAAAATTTATTTAAAATTTACAATTTTCAATCAAATCGAAATATCGATATTTCAGTTTGTTTCAAATAGAGCACCCTGTACTTTTTCTAGTATCTGTTTTCTTTCATGCAATATGTCGGTGGGATCCTTAAAAAAGTAAACAATCTTAATAACAAACAACTTTAAGGACCAGTTTATACAATATTTTAAGTGAGATTAAGTTAATCTCTAAATGCCTGATTGACCAAGAGTCGGTCACGTGCTACTTTAACCCCGAGTTTAACCCGTATTAAAATTTTTATCGGAATCAAATATTTAATTGGGTTTCTGTAAACCGGGTCTAAATGTAGAAAATAAAACACAAAACAACAGAAATATCGATACATATTTGGAAAACATTTTTTAAAATAATTATTATTAATTCCCACTCCCACTCGACAGGAAAAAATAATTAGTCCCGCCCACCCACCCTGTGTCCTTTTCAGTAATTGATTTCATCTGATCCGAATGAAATAAATTATCTGATACTGAAGAAAAATAAAATCAGTCGTTAGAATGAAAAGAGGGGTGGGTGGGTGGGGGGACTAGTGTTTGCTAAGATGAGGCTGATTTTGGCAAATGACATATCCTCTAAGAAAATAGAGGGTGGGTAGGCGGGGTTAGTATTGATAAGACTGATTTTGCCACTTTTGACATATTTCCGAAAATTAGTTCAAGATATTTTCTTGTAGATTTCGATATCCAAAAGTCATTTTCGGCTTCATTTCTTCAAAAATTCCTACCGTTTTTCGAAAATAGCAAATTGAAAAACAAATTTTATTTTTATTTTAAAGATTAGCGTTTTTTTTCATATCGTAGATTCTTTATTACTTTCCACTCCCACTAGACAGAAGAAAATAATTAGCCCCGCCCACCCACCCTGTCTCCTTTTCAGTGATTGATTGATTTGATCTAAATGAAATAAATGATCTTATACCGAACAGAAATAAAATTGGTCGTTAGAATGAGAGGAGGGGTGGGTGGGTGAGGCTAGTGTTTGCTAAGATAAGACTAATTTTGGCAAATGACATATCCTCTAAGAAAATACAGGGTGGGTGGGCGAGGCTAGTATTGATATGAAAAGACTGCTTTTTTGGCACTTTAGACATTTTTCATCGTTTTTCAACGATTTCCGAAAATCAGTTGAAGACATTTTTTTGTACATTTCGACATCGAGAAGTCATTTTCGACTTCGTTTTTTGGGAAATTCTTGCCGTTTTTCAAAAATCGCCAACTGAAATCCAGCTATTTTAAAGATTGGCGTTTTTTTTTACTTTTTCCACATCGTAGATTCTATTATTAGTTTCCACTCTCGATAGAAGAAAATAATTAGCCCCGCCCACCCACCCAGTCTCGTTTTCAGTGATCGATTTCATCTGATCTGAATGAAATGAATAATATTATACTGAACAGAAATAACATAGTCGTTAGAATTAGAAGAGGGGTGGGTGGGTGGTGCTAGTGTTTGCTACGATAAGACTAATTTTGGCAAATGACATATCCTTAAAGAAAACAGAGGGTGGGCGGGGCTAGTATTGATAAGATAAGACTGATTTAGGCACTTTTGACATTTTCCCTCATTTTCCAACTATTTCCGGAAATTAGTTGAAGCCATTTTCTTGTAGATTTCGATATCCAAAAGTCACTTTCGGCTTCGTTTCTACGAAAATTCCTACCGTTTTTCGAAAATCGCAAATTGAAATACAGTTGTTTTAAAGATTAGCGCTTTTTTTATTTTTTTACATCGTAGATTCCATTATTAGTTTCCACTCTCGGTACAAGAAAATAATTAGCGCCGCCCACCCACCCTGTCTACTTTTCAATGATTGATTTCATCTGATCTGAATGAAATGAGTGATCTTATATTGAACAGAAATAAAATTAGTCGTTAGAATGAGAAGAGGGGTGGGTTGGTGGGGCAAGTGTTTGCTAAGATAAGACTGATTTTGGCAAATGACATATCCTCTACGAAAATAATGGGTGGGTGGGCGGGGCTAGTATTGATAAGATAAGACTGATTTTGGCACTTTTGATATTTTCCACCATTTTTCAATTATTTCCGAAAATTATTTGCACATTTTCTTGTACATTTCGATAGCCAAAAATCAGTTTCGGCTTTGTTTCTTCGAAAATCGCCAATTGAAATACAGCTATTTTAAATCTTGGCGCTTTTTTTAAATTTTTTCACATCCTAGATTCTATTAGTTTCCACTCCCTCTCGACAGAAGAAAATAATCAGCCCCGCCCACCCACCCAGTCTCCTTTTCAGTGATCGATTTCATCTGATCTGAATGAAATGAATGATCTTATACTGAACAGAAATATAATTAGTCGTTAAAATGAAACGAGGGGTGAGTTAGACTAATTTTGGGAAATGACATCCTTAAAGAAAAAGAGGGTGGGTGGGCGGGGCCAGTATTGATAAGATAAGACTGATTTAGGCACTTTTGGCATTCTCCACCATTTTTCAACTATTTCCGGAAATTAGTTGAAGCCATTTTCTTGTAGATTTCGATATTCAAGTCACTTTCGGCTTTGTTTCTTCGAAAATCTACGGTTTTTCGAAAATCGCCAATGGAAATACAGCTATTTTCAATATTAGCGCTTTTTTAAAATTTTTTCACATCCTAAATTCTACTATTGTTTTCCACTCCCACTCGACAGAAGAAAATTATTATATTATTATTTATACCCCAGTTTTATTCATACCACAATAAAGTGTGTTTTATTTATCTTTCCCCAGAATATTGTAACCCAGACATTAAAAAAAACCCTTTTGCAATTTTTTGTTTACAATGGAATCTAAATTTGTAAAAATATACAGGCTGTTAGCTTTAAACAAGTGAAACATTCAACCGATAATAATTTAAATTGTAGCCCTATGTGACCTTTGTGTTTGCGAAGAAGGCGTAATCTTGCGTTGAGACACCCTATATATTTCAATCAACATGACAAAATCTTTGCGATTTATCAAGAATTGATAAACATAGTTTTATGCCAAAGCCCTCAAAAACTATATATTTTTTAATATTTGAATCTTCCTGCCTTCCATAAATAAAATTCTCTTAACAGATTAACCTTATATCAGTTTATTAAATAATCCATGAGCAGACTCAAACGTTCACTTAACGAAGACGATAAATTCAAGTAAACACAGAATATATTCAGATAAACCTGAAAAATTTATTGAGTATAAACGAGTATTATCTGTGTACTGCAGAGAAACATTTTTTTTTGCTAAAGCTAGTGACTGGGTTTCTGTGAATTAAATCATTGCTCAAAATATTTTTTTAACTACTCCACTTAATAACGAAATGCTGCTTACGATGCAAAAAATTATAGCATTACATCAGAACGTTCCAAATATTGTAATGTTTTGGACTAGCATATTGGCTGTTTTTTCGGGTCCATTTAAAACACACAAGTGCTTAAATTTTTTGTAGGAGATTTAAAAGTTAGTTGTAATAGTGTTATTTACTGTTCAAACACTACAACAATATCAATTCCAAAGGTTTTATTTACAATGATCGTAATTTTTTTTTAAGTGGCGCCACTTCGAGCACACAAAATCCATCGCATTCTTGAGAACTGCGCAAGCTGCGAAGTGCCAATGCAGCTGCCCATGTTGCAATTCAAATCAAATCAAGACCTTTAAATTGGAGTTTGTCCATTCATTTCCATAACAAACTTTTCTAATTGAAATAATGAACAAACTAACGACTAGTTGAAACACCGTGCAAAACTCCACTGGGCCAAACAAGCCTTAATTATCGTCCCTGGAACCCCAGTCTTTCCGAGTCATTTTTAGATAACGCACCGACGTACAAAAACCTGCTGCCTGCCACGTGTTGATCCTCCGTATGTGGCAAAGAAAATATCGCATGATGCTTCGTCATAATCGATAAAATTACAAGCCACCGAACGAACGAATCAACCGATGCGGGTAGAGAAAAGTGAATTTTCAATTTCCATACTCACGTTTTCGTGTTTGAAAAAGCATAGCATTTTCAGTTCTCGAAACACTCTTTTTGATGAAACTAACGATTGGAACACATTCGGTAACTTTTTCAGGGCGACTCTTCTACCGTCACGAGGATCCGTCACAGCCCTGCAACAAAAAAAGAAATGTTAGAGGCGTTGCGTTGATGACTCCTCTTAATCTTTAAATGGAACGATAATGATTTCATCGCATTTGTCCGATTCGAAACGTACGGATTACAGGTTTGCTCGCACCTGTTTTGACAGGTGCTGGAAAGGAGTTATCTGCGTTCGACGAGCTGATTAATATGCGCGACTGCCAAGAATATGGGCTTATCGAATAGAAAATGCGATGATAAAGTGAAGTTGTGGATTGTGGTTATCTCGACGATGATAACTGCTGAGGAATTGTTTGCTGCGTTCTTCTTCGGTGCTGGATGGAAACATGATAGTGATTTATTACTGAACAATAATAAAACAAAAAGGGAGCGGGAGAGAGAACGAAAGACAGAGAGAAGGCCAGATTTTCCTTTTTGTATACTTTACGATGCCTTTTGTTTGCATTATATTATGGACCAGTTCCCGCAGAGAGTTATTCTTGCATTAGTAAATGTTAATAATTCTGATACTGTACATTTTGGACGTCTAGATATATATGGAAGCTATATTTTTTTTCAAGTGCCACTTGTTAAATATGTAATTGGCAATTTTATGGGGTTGGCAAACCTTACAACAGCTTTGATATACATGTAAATAAGTTTTGTAAAATTCGGTTGTTAATTGTTCAAGTTTTCCACATTCATTTGGGTTAGGAAAAGTGAAATTTTTCCTAACTAGAGCGGAAAAATAAAACAAAACAATATCAAACACCACTTCTCAAATTCCTTGTACGCCTTTTTATAATTTTTTTTTGATTTCTCGGCCAATAGTGAATTACTTGCCAGTGTGGCTGACTCTTCAACATCAAAAGATACTGATGAAACATCATCTTTCAACATTTTTACCTCAAAAAACACCCAAAATACTTCAAACGTTGAAAAATTGCAAAATGTTGCGTTGTTTGTTTGTATTTTCCATGACAACAAATTTATTGCATTAAAAGGGACTTGATACTTTATTATTCAATTAAATTTATAATGAAGAGTTTTTTTACCTAATTTTACAAAATCTTGTGTGCAATTTGATAGGAAAAGTGTCTTTCCACATTCACGACATGTTTTTGATCTCGACTTCGTCTCGATCAAAAATCTCATGTCTAGAATGTGGAAAAATGTCACTTTTCCTATCTTATTGCACAAATAGCTATTGTGGGACCGTGTCAGATTGAGCAGCGTTTTAGTGCAAATTAAGCTGCAAAAATAAGGGAAAATTGTTATAATATTACTAGCACATTATTTTTAATTAATAGGAATAAAATTATTAAGCTTGTTATTAGTAGTACAAAGTAGTTTCTAAAATTCCAGAGCAATTACGTACTTACGGATAAGAGTGCTCTAAAAATTGTAACTTTGGAAAATAATAATAATAATACATATAGCGTATATTTCTAACTTGTAACTCATTTTGACGTTCGTCATAACTTAACTCATAAGTGATGGGACACTGTGTGTATTTACAGTACACTAAATTGGTGTTCCATCAGTTGCGTAAACCTCCATCACATTCAGTTTCAGGGAAATTTATATGTTACCAACATAAATCAATAGACGGTGGAGCTTTGATGTATACTGTGATATTGCAGTTATTACTTTATGGTTATTATCATTTATTTTATCTATATGCAGATTGTTGTAAACATTTTTTCTTCTTCCCACCACGCCAACTTAATTTCTTTTTTGAAATATTTAACGTCACATACATGAAATTTTGGATTTTTTGTTTTTAAAGTTTTAAAAAACGTTTTTAACTTTTTTATTTCCCGAGCGTAAGCTAAGGAAGTATAGTAATCGACTCCATCGGCCGCATTGCCACTTTCATATTTTCTCGACGTGTCATGACCTCTAAAGTACGAAAAAAGTGGTATCCCGTTTCCGTCTGTCTGCCTATTTGGTGTCTGTATCCATTTTTATTAGACAAGTAATCTCTGCAATTACTGGACCAATTGTTGTCACATTTTGTATGTAGGTATATTAGGAATATCCTGTAGTTGGTTAAACGCTAACTAAAATCTGGCTAAACATCCCCACCACCAATGGGATGAAATTATCTCCACAATTTATAACAAAGTTTTTTTAAATTTTTGGACAAAATTCAAAACTGAATAACAATATTTTGCAATATAACTTTGAAATTGCAAAACCGATTACTCTTAAATCTTGTAAATATTTTAAGGTGATCGTAATCATGGTAAACTGTTAAGCAAAATTTATTCGTTTATCCCCTCTCAAAAATTGATGACGTCGTCTCAAAATTTTGCCTAATAAATCCTCATTTGGAACTTACGCCCAACATGCTTCTTTACATTTACTTGAACATTACATACACATTTTTATTTTAACTTACAAGAGTTATCATAAAAAAGTTAAATTCGCAAAACCAAATCTTATAATTTTTCGAAAAATCTGGATTTATATGTATTAACCTTTAACCAATTTTTGTTTTTTCATTTTTTTTCATTTTTCAAAGTTTCGGTTTCATAATTTTTCGTTTTTGCAACTTTAAGATCAGGTTTATGGAAAGCGAATTAAAAGTTAATCTCCATTAATTTTAATTGAGGTCCGATTTGCTATGCAATGTGCATGTTTTAACCAATCACGGGCTCATACTCTACATTTTAATCCTATGTTAAATTAATCGAGGATTCAATATTTAATTCGCTTTCCATAAACCGACCTTAATTTTATCAATTTTTCAATGTCACGCCTGCAAATTTTTCAGTTTCTCGTATATTGAATTTTTCTTTTTGAAATTTTTCAATTTTGCAATTTTTCGATATTATAATTTTTCATTTTTCGCATCTTCAGTTTCTTAATTTTTAATTTTTCGATTTTTCAGTTTTTTGTTTCCTCAGTTTTTAAGAAATATGTATTTTGCAATTACGCTCCGTTCCTTGGTCTAACAACGAGTGAAAAATTCACCACAACTGAGATCGGGGCGGGTGGGTGGGGTTTACTTTTTTTTTTAAATATATATATGTATATAGTTTTCTTTCAACAACAAGAGAGTTAACATGTTGTCAGTTTCTTGTTGGGAAAAGACTTCGTATATTAAGAAAAAATGGACAAAATATGAGGCCGGAATTTTATCATTTTCCTGTACTTGTTGAACTGTACTTTACTTCAGGGACACGAGGGAAATTTTTGTCCACTATCATAGACCAATTGCAATTGTTTAATTTAAGAATATGTATAACAAAACATGAATTAAAAATGTTCGAGTAAACAACTTTGTAAATATAAAAAACACTATTACTGTTTAACAATGTAAATGAAAATAAATCCTCTTTATTGCCCAAAACTCGCAGCAACGCGAATGTGTGTTAAAATACGTGGAAAATGAAAATTAAAATAACTCGATTAAATATAAAGCGCTTTCAAAAACTGAATAAATGTAACTTTCGATTTTTCTTTTTAGAGTTTTAATTTTAAGTAACTAAAAAACTAGGAAGGATTTTTGTTTTAATCTGATTTTTTCCCAATCCTGTTTATAAAATTAGTATGGATGGTAAAATACTAAACAAAATTTGTCTAATCATCCCCATCAACAATTTGAAGACGTACTAATCATTTTGTGTTGTAAGGGTTATCTAAATTTTAATAAAATAATACACTCCTGTAGGGGAACGAGGGGCTTGTTGTAACAGTTTTTAGGAAAACGAATATAATTTGGTATCTATTAGCTGTTTGATTTTTATAAAAGTATCTATCGGTAGTCTAACTATTCCCCTATTGGACTGAACAGGCAAAAGGTCAAAATTGTTCATCTTCACTTCACACCAGGCATTTTCTTAAAAAAAGTGCATTGTTACAACTTGCCCCGTGGTTGGGGCTAGTTGTAACAGCCATGAGACAGGTAGTACCAGTAAAAATAAAGCTGATGTTGATACATATTTAGACTTTATTTTTCAAAAATCAACACAACACTTCATTATATACAATTTTTTTTCAGTAAAACTGAAATAAACTTTTAGAAAAAGAGTTAACATTAAAAATTTGAGTGTTGTCTTCCTTTTTCTTAATATATCTGTAAAGCGATATATGGCATAGGTCAAAATTTTGGCTCGCTTTTCGTATGCTAGGTACGAGATTTGTAGAAGTGAATTTGGGATAAGTTGTAACATGTTACAACTTGCCCCAAAGCTATTGTTACAACATGCCCCGTAGCACAATTTTCTACATTTAATTAAATTTCGACAAAATTATGTGGCTTAGCGTCAAAATGTGTAAGGAATATCAAAGCTGAGTAATTTTTGAGCTACATGCAAAACTAAAAGTTTTAAATTAATTAATAACTGATACGAAAAACCAAATTTTACTAAAGCAATATTTTACATTACTTGGCTAAAACGAAACACGTGCACACATCCACTTACTGCGCTGGCTCAAGGAACAGTGGTTGTGATGACATGATATCTTATGGTGCAAGAATTAAATTCAGTAAAATACCTGACGTTAAAGAGTTTAAATTGTGGGTAAAAATTTAGTGTTACAACTTACCCCTGTTACAACAAGCCCCTAGTTCCCCTACTCGTGGTTTATGAATCCGATTTGATTTTTATCATAGTTACTTTACTTTTTTTTGTACAATATTTTCTGCGTGTATCTCCCCATGCATTAAATAGCCTTTTGAATATTTTTTTAGACTGTGACTGGCGTTCTTTATATATTTTACTTATAACTTTAGAGATTATCATAAAATAAATAAAATTTTGCAAAATCGAATTTTATAATTTTTCGAAAAAACTTGTTTTATTTGAGGGGCGAGGAAAGTTTTGTCTAGATAATTTACCAATAAAATGATGAAAAAAATTGAAAAAAAAAAAAATGGTAGACGGTTATTTCGACAGGCCTTCTCTCGCCTCTGAAGTACAATTTAACAAATGAAATCCCGCTTCCTTCAAAAATGATAAAATGTGCGAACTTTTATTTGTGATAACTTCTATACATCAAAATAAACATAGATAATACCAAT